CAGATTGATTGCTTCATTCATTCTTCATGTTGATTGCCAAATAACTGTCTATTTTGACGTACCCGTGTTGCAGACGTTGGAGGCAGCCCAAATCGGGTCTATCCTCAGTCAGCACAGGCCGAGGAGCAGAACACGAGTTAGTGGAGGTTGCCAAACGTCAACTTGGCTTCACTGAGCCTTTTGTTTGGCGTCAATACATAATTTATCCACCAAAACGGATGTCCTCCTCCCGTTGCATTTAAGCTTGGCGGAGTGACAATAAAGTAGTCACTAAAAGATAACCACTCCCTAGACACTTAAAAAGGCATATGAGAATGCACAAAAGTTTGCCGTAAACTTACATAAGGACTATTTCGGCGGTAATAGATGAAGGACGAATGGAGTGCCGCAACACCTTAACAGAGATCAAAGTCTTGAAGGCGCAACCCAAACAAATGTTGGTAGGGCGGAGAAGGCCAGTAGTATACTCAACCCATAGGGACTCAAAGAAAGGCCCAATTCTCGAAGTAACTTTTGACTAATTGGTAAGTGACCCAAAGCGAGGAAAGGCAAGTGTAGTATTAACTTTGTCTTCTCACCTTCACTGCTTCGGTCAGTCTTGAAATCACTCTCAAAACCCATTTTTCCGGTTCTCGCTAGGAGATCTCCATTAGATACATGTTATTGACAACCTGTTCTCTTGATAAATAGCTTTCTTTTAAAGGAGGAATGGAATCCAGCTCCGACCCTTTGCTACTACTCCACTCGACTGAGGGCTTTACATAAATAAGTTCCCTCAAGGGTTGAAACAAATGTCTCAATCGTTGTATGCGTGATTTCGTCTTGCCACGCGGTGCGCAATTGCGGACTAAAGTGAACGCCGATGCTTTTTGCTGTCTGTGGTCGCATCGTAGCTTTAAAGCTGCTTTCAATGAGCTTTACAAATCACCTTCAAGACCCCTCCAATGGGATTTTGGCTTTGATTATTTATGTTCGTTCTTTTTAACCCTTTTGGAGCAGAGGGAACATTTCATCATCAAAATGATATCGTTTTGGTCTACTTCTGAGGCTCATTCCTTCGGTAAATACGAAGTCACTATTCGCTTCTTTTGTGAAATAGGCAAATAAATCTCCTTTGTAGAGATGGTGGGAAGAACAAACAGAGAGGTTTCGCCTTTGCCTGTGTTGAGAAGCTAGGTAGTTAATTGCCTCCAATTTCTTCCCCTCTTTAACTACAAGGTCATTTGCCGAGACAATGGAACTCCGAGTAGAAGTGCTTCAGCTGACGTTCATTTGGCTCTTCTCGATGTAAACGACTGCATTCCACTCTTTTCACAAAGTGCCTACAATTTCACGGTGGTGGAGGACTATTCCACAGCCTTTCAGGGTCAGCGCCTGGTTGGCAGTATCCGTGCCACCGACTGCGATGGTCCCGAATTCAATCATGTCGTCTACCTTCTCCTCAACTCATATCATCTCTTCAGCGTAAGTTCCTCTCCCTGAGGCTAGGCATTTGGCAGTCATAGGCGTCACTTTTGCTCTTTCGATACATTTCACCACCAAAGACATTAACGCCTCTGGCAATATTAATGAAGCCGATTATTGCAAAAAGCGAATGCGTATTTAATGAGGTTCTGTGTATGTCTATCTTCCATTCCTGTAGAATAATTTATGCCCTCTCGTTTAAGGGAAAATGGCGTTCCTTTCTAATTAATTATGCATAAGTATACAGATTTGCTTGTGGGTTTGAAAGTGCAAATGCTCTTTTACATTACTAAGTTTACACAATCGCCCAAAAGCCTGCTGCCGGTCAAGCGGAGACGAGGGCTCTTGAGGTAGTGGGAAATGAGTGAAGGGCAGACCATTTCAGATCCCAGTAAAATCGTGTCTTGAGTGGGCTGCACGAATATGGACACTAGAACTTGAATTGAGCAATGGATCCGAGTGTGCCCAAATTCAAATGGCTATCTTAAACAAATACACAAGGATGCAATGACTTTAATAGAGATGCCAGCAAAATAAAAACGAAATTTGGTTGAGTAGGTTAATACTGTTGTCACTGGAACCAAAAGCCTTTCTTTAGATTGACAGTGAAGGACGCATCTTCACGACGCGAAGTCTGGATCGAGAACAGGAGCCAGTCTACGAATTGCAAGTTGTAGCAACTGACGGACCAATTGGAAATGCAAATTCTGACGAGCGAGCATACAATTCGGAAGCTCTGCTCCTCTCCACACCTTACAATTCTGTCACAGCAACTGTCAGTGTCATCGTTCAAGACCTCAATGACAACCCTCCCCATTTTGTTCATCCAGCCAACACCAGTATTCCTGTGAGTGGTGGCAACTTGAAGGAAGAAGAGTGTTTAGTTTAGGCGTAATTTTAGACGGCTTGGTATTCTTACAGATTCGAGTGTCATTTCAAGAAGATGTGGGATTTGTGCTCACCAGAATGGTGGCAATCGATCCGGACAATGGAAACAATGGCACAATCTCCTACCGCGTTATTCGGGGCAATCGCCATGGTATCTTTAAATTAGGAGAGCATTCAGGCGACCTCTACATTGGCAAGAAGATGATACCTGAGCAGGTGGTAAGTCAGTCTAGCTATGCCTAGTCAAGTCCAACTCCAACAAGAGCACCATTAGTTTCACATCACGTCAATAAATTTGCCACTCCCCAAATCTGCATTAAATCTTTTAAAAGTTGTAAGAGACATCCCCACCTCACCCCTTTAGTGAACTTGGCGATCCAAAGCGCCCCTGAAGGGGGAAACACTTTCAGTGTGCAGAGATGAATTGGAGCACCGTGTTTTCAAACCTGTGGAGAGCATGTAGACGCCAAGCAATGGAATGAAATCAGGAGGAAGAACGAAGCTTAATGATCGCTTAAAGAAACGAAATGGCCTAAAGTCGTAGGATATAGGTGGCCAAATGATCTCCAGCTATCTCTTACTCTTTACCCTGATGTTAATGTGCTTGTCGTCTATGACAAGCCTCCTCCCCTCATAATCATGGGTGCTACTTCCTTTCAAATGTACGGATTAGCAGATCCAGTTCATAGCAATTTCGAGCATTCCAATAATATCAGGCGGCTTGTCGGTATCGTTTTTCAATTGTGAATGCATAACACTTTCAAAAGTGTCTTTGCTTCCACTATGTTGTGCGTAAATAGGCTGGGAAAGTTT